CTTGATTTGAGCCCTAATTGCTAGAAAGATAGGTAGCTCATCTGTTTCCTGTGTCCAGTCATTGAGGCTCACCAGGGCCACCAGCTCTCCACTCTAGGTGAAGCCTTCAAAGAACTAAGAGTAAGTATTAGGCATTGAGAGAACAGGCCTAGGGGTCAGAACAGCTGGGTTTCAATTCAGATTACCTAGCAGTGACTACATGACTTGTCCCTCAAAAGCTGGACTGTTCAACTGTTGGGAGCTGTTCTTATTCACAGCTTTTCTTTTTGGTTGAACAGCTTTGAGAATCCCATGAAGGTATGGACTTTAACCTGAGAAAAATTATAGTTTATCTATATAGTATATATCTAGTATATCATTTTATATATCTAGTGTATCATTTTATATATCTAGTATATAATTTCTGAAATATCAGAAGCCTCTGGTCTCTGGATCCCAGGCAAAGCAATCCTTGAAAGTTTTTAACCCCACTTTGGGCAGTGTAAAAATCATCACCATTGTTAAAACTAGTGCCTTGACTGAGAGTTCTTGATAAGGGGATCTCTGCCTACTTAAAACAGGAAACCATGATTTTATCAAGTGAATCCAAGGGGTGATTCCTCCCTAGGGTAATGGTTTTCATAATGACTTGATGTGTGCCTTGGATTGCTGCTTTTAGGTTCTAGGTGTGTGAAACTTGGTAGGAGAGTAAGAAGGCCAAGGCCAAATGGGGGTGGAAATGAAAGTTCTCAGGTTCTCTCTCTGGCCTTTTACTTATCTTGGACCTTGCTGGTACCATGAAAACAGTGTTTGGCAAGCTTTAGAATTTGGTAAACATTTGTTGAAGGAATGAATTTGCAAATGTATTTGTATTATGGATTTTTACAACAAGAGAAACTGCTGTTGTTAATCAAGTTGAGAAGTTTGTGTGATTAGCATTTAGTGATCAGCACATTAGTAAATGTCCTTTCATGATGGCTTTTGCTCCCTAAGCAACCATAGAGTTGCTGGCATTGGGATCCGAAAAATTGTTCTAGTACTGGGAATTGCACCCAGGGGAGCTTTAACACAGACACACACCCCAATTTCTTTGATTTTTTTATTTTGAGACAGAACCTTGCAAATTTGCTGAGGCAGGCCTCTAACTTGTCATCCTCCTGCCTCAGCCGAGTTTCTAGGATTGCAGTCATGTGTCATTGCACCTAGCTGGATAACAAATATTTTGATAATGAAGATCCCTTGTATTCCTATTATTATTTTAAAGTACACATTCAGAAAGTGTATAAAAACATGAACAGTAACAATTATAAAGCAAATAGTGATATAACCTCCACCCAGGGAAGAAGTAGAATACTAGCAATGTTGACACCACCCATGTCCTTTTCCAGTTACATTCATCTCATCTGAAAGGAAAGTGACCACAACACTCAGAGCAACCAAGAGATCTTCATTGCAGCAGTGCAACAGAGGAGAAAAGAGAAAGAGGAGAGAGAGAGAGAGAGAGAGAGAGAGAGAGAGAGAAAGCAAGAGAGATAGCAAGAGAGATAGAGAAAGCAAGAGAGATAGCAAGAGAGATAGAGAAAGCAAGAGAGAGAGGGGCCTGGCAGGAGGGAGTTTTTATAGCCCAAATCTAATGAGGTCTCTGGGTCTGCAAGCTGCCTTGTTGGCACACAAGGGGGTTACGTGTTCGGCCTTGAGCAGGGGGCTGAGTGTTCAGCCTTGAGCAGGGGCTTGGACATTTGGGCTTGAAGCAAACAGGTGATAAATAGCCAGACAGAGGGTTTGAGTGACCAGGTCACCCTGCAGCTAACTTTGTTTGGTATGCCCTGCAGACAGCTCACTCAGCCTGTCCTGCACCTAACATCATCCATTCTCCTGACTTTGGGGTAGTTTCCTTGCTGATCTTTATACTTCTACCACATATGTATGCCTTCCTAAATTTATTTTAACTTGACACTATTGGTCTTATTTTTTATTATGCATTGTTTTGAGTTTTGCTTCATTTTTTAAACGTTTGTGAGATTCCTCAAATGAGTTGTGGTTCATTTTCATTGCTGTATTGAAGTCCATTTTATGAATATTCCACAGTTACTTATTCAGTCACTGATGAAGATTTTTGGAGCTTTGAACTGTTAAAGTGTAGGTATAAACATTCTTGTTTATGAGTTCTGGTATATGGTTACTTGTATTTTTAAAATGGTTGATGAATCTAGGAGTGAAATTGCTGAGTCACAGACCATTCCTATCTTCAGTAGTATTAGATGCTACCAACTCTTTTCCAAAGTGGTTGTACCAATTTGCACCATCATGAAGAGTATGAGTTCCTGTTGCTCTATATCTTCACCACCTCTTCCTATTGTAGAGTTTTTATTTTTGTCAATCTGAAGGGTATTTATTTAATGAATGGTATCTTATTGTGGTTTTCATTTGCATTTCTCTGGTTACTATTGTTAGAGTCTATAAACAATGCTGTATCAACGTATACAAGTTGCTCGTCACCCCCCCAGCTATTTTGCCCAGCCAGCCGGGCTGCGGCATACTATGATTTTGAGAATCTTTTGTATTTCCTCTTTTTGTGAAGTACTCAGTCAGGTCTTTTGCATATTTTCAATTAGATCATATATCTTTTTTTTCTCATTACTTTACAGGTGTTTCCCATGCATTTGTTGTTTTAATTCTTTGTGTTTTATATGGGTTTCAAATATCTTCTAATTTGTGTTTTTACTTTAAAAAAAAAGATTGTTCTTTGAATGAAGATTTTAACATGCTAAAATTTATCAATACTTTTTGTTTATGGTTTATGCTTTTTTGATCTTATTCCACTTAATTTTTGTTTAATGGAAGTAGAGGTCCATTTTATGTTTTGCTTCATATGGATAACCAGTTGCTCTAGCAGCATTTAAGAACACCTTTGGCCAGGTGTGGTGGTGCAATGACTTTCAAGGCTGAGGCAGGATATTTGTAAGTTCAAGGTGAGCCATTTAATTGGATCTTGGTTCAAAAAAAAAAAAGGCCTGGGAATTTAACTCAGTGGTAGAGCGCCCAAGTATTCAGTCCCCAGTATTTCCCCCAACCTAAAAAATCGCTTTATATACTGATCTGCTGTGCCATGTGTGATATATCAAGCATTTGTGAACATGTTTCTTGGCTCTTCTTTTCTGTACTGTTGTAGTATATTTCTGTGTGAACAAGATGTTTTCCAAGCTTTTAAAATCTGGTAGAGCAGATCCTTCTACTTTGTTCTTCTACCAGAGTGTCTCAGTCAACCTTATTCTTTACATTTTGTAGAACAGAACTATAAAACATTTTTTTAGAATTGTGATTTATTTTTTAATTATTTATTTGTTTATTTATTTATTTTTGCATTACAATTCTTATAAAACTTTTTTTTCAGGACATTTTGGGCATTTTTTAGTATTGTTTTGAATTTATAAACCAAATAGGGTGAATTAATACCATCACAATAAGAAGTCTTTTGATCAATTTCTTTAGATTTCACTGCTTCACAATAATATATTTTTTCCTGAAAGATCCTTTACATTGTGAAGTTTATTTTTAGATATTTCATAATTTTATACTATTATAAAATGTTTTTAATTTTTTTCTAATTATGTATAGAAATTTGATTAAATTTTATATTGGTTTTTATATTAAACTATCTGCTAAATTCTCCTACACATTCTAATAATTGTAGAATTATTCTACACACATGATCATAGTATCTGTGGATATGGACAGTTTTTGTTTCTTTTCAATCGTAATACGTTTTATTTGCTTTTTCTTGCTTCACAGTTCTGGACAGGATCTTCAGACAATGTTGAATAGATGTGATAGTAGATATTTTGGCTTTATTTCTTATCTAGGGATAATTTAAATTTTACAAATAAGTGTGATATATTTTATAGTTTTTAATAGACATGTTTCATCAGATTAAGAAGGTTCCCTTTCAGTCCTAGTTTGCTAAGTGTTTCTTAGATATTGAATATCAAATGATTTTTCTGCATTTGTTGGGGTGATCATTGGATTTTACTCTCTTACTATGTTAATGTGATGAATTATATTAATTGACTTACTTTTTATGATTGATCTTAAAATCATAATATATTCACATATTCCTGAAGCCTCTGCCTCTTTGAAATAATGGATATTAAAGCTTCTGAAAATCTCAAAGGCTCATTCAACCCTAATATCTGGCATTTTTTTCCTAATAATTCCTGTGGGTGTTATTATGTGCCCAGAGGCAGGATAGCAGAATGTTTAAAGAGCACATTTTCTAGAACTCAGTTGTTTGAATGCTGTTCCTGGCCATGTCATTTATCAACTGAGTGACTTTGGTAAATTTCTTAATCTCTTTGCACTCAGCTGTAAAATGTGAATGTTGCTATATATACACCTCCTAGAAGAATTATACCTGTAACATTCTTAGAACCATGATAGGCCTTTGTAAGTGCAATGTGCTAACTTCTAAAGTTTTTATGTTTATGTCACTCACTTGAATGAAGAATTTGAAAGCTAGAAATATAGTTCATAGCTTAACAATTGAAACCAGAAATAGAAGCCATTTAGCAGAAATAATGGTTTATCTTTAAGGCTTAATAATTTACACAGATCCAAGATGAAATGAGATAGGACTAATTAGCATTATTTTAGCAGCCATTCACTGAGCAGTTTCTGTGCCCTTAGTCTTGAGTACTTCTAAAACATCCTTGGTAACTAACTCACAACAATGTGACTGTACTTAATACTATAGGACTGTAACTTTAAAATGGTTTAAATGGTAAAATTTATCTTTCGCATCATACAGTCTATTCTAATTCATCCTCTCAAAATGCCTATGAGGTAAGTATTATTTCTATTTTAAGTGAGAAAATAGACTTAGAGGAATTTAATAACTTGCCCAAATTCCCCAGTTAGTGTGCTGCAGAGATCTGAAGGCACTTCTGAACACTTCTGCAGTATGCTCCTCAGAGGGAATACCCTGACTGCTGTGAGGCACTGTTAGAATGGATAAGGTGGAAGACGTAGCTGCGGGTGGCTGTGGTGGTGGCGTCCAAGATGTCGACCAAGAATTTCCGAGTCAGTGACGGGGACTGGATTTGCCCCGACAAAAAATGTGGAAATGTAAACTTTGCTAGAAGAACCAGCTGTAATCGATGTGGTCGGGAGAAAACAACTGAAGCAAAAATGATGAAGGCTGGGGGTACTGAAATAGGAAAGACACTTGCAGAAAAGAGCCGAGGCCTATTTAGTGCTAATGACTGGCAGTGTAAAACTTGCAGTAATGTAAATTGGGCCAGAAGATCAGAGTGTAACATGTGTAATACTCCGAAGTATGCTAAATTAGAAGAAAGAACAGGATACGGTGGTGGTTTTAATGAAAGAGAAAATGTTGAATATATAGAAAGAGAAGAATCTGATGGAGAATATGATGAATTTGGACGTAAAAAGAAAAAATACAGAGGAAAGGCAGTTGGTCCTGCCTCTATATTAAAGGAAGTCGAAGATAAAGAATCAGAGGGAGAAGAAGAGGATGAGGATGAAGATCTTTCTAAATATAAATTAGATGAGGATGAGGATGAAGATGATGCTGATCTCTCAAAATATAATCTTGATGCCAGTGAAGAAGAAGATAGTAATAAAAAGAAATCTAATAGACGAAGTCGCTCAAAGTCTCGATCTTCACATTCACGATCTTCATCACGCTCATCCTCCCCCTCAAGTTCAAGGTCTAGGTCCAGGTCCCGTTCAAGAAGTTCTTCCAGTTCGCAGTCAAGATCTCGTTCCAGTTCCAGAGAACGTTCGAGATCTCGTGGGTCGAAATCAAGATCCAGCTCCAGGTCCCACAGGGGCTCTTCTTCCCCACGAAAAAGATCTTATTCAAGTTCATCATCTTCTCCTGAGAGGAACAGAAAGAGAAGTCGTTCTAGATCTTCTTCACCTGGTGATCGCAAAAAAAGACGAACAAGATCACGGTCACCTGAAAGGCGCCACAGGTCATCTTCTGGATCATCCCATTCTGGTTCCCGTTCAAGTTCAAAAAAGAAATAATGTATTAAAAATTACATCTTAAAAAAAAATATCCAGTACAGTGCATGAAGCATATTTTTTAAGAAGTTGATGTCTTACTTGGTCAGAAGTGCTAAATCTGCTAGTAGAGGTGCATGCCTTTATTGCTTTTCAGAATAATACAACTGTGTTTATTTGTGAAATTAAAAGTAAATTGCATTTTAAGCCATAATGTCCCAAAATAGATGGTCTATTATTCATTATTTACAACCATTTGCTTCATTTAAAACCATCTCAGCATAACAAAGTACCTTTGTTTCCTAATTTAAATACTTATTTCTAAATATATTCTGTCTGTTGGCTAAGACAGGATTAAGTAGGCTTGCCTGTACTTTGGGCATAGAGGCAAGAGTGGTAAACTCATTGGAAACAACCTTTTTAATGTTATTATTAACCTATATCAGAGTAATTCTTACCAGGACAAGTTTAAGTTGTAAAGCAGCCTACTGGAAACTTCTTTATTTGAAATTCGCTATGCTGAGGGTGCCTTAGAATCATTGTCTCTCTTTATGCAGCTTCACACCAGTTTTGCACCACCACATTTATGCAAAAAGAATCTTGTGATTTGAAGAAGGAGAAAGGTGGTGTTCATTTCCTTTATGAACCATATTGGGGCAAGAAAGTCCAGTTCATCTGTTCTCTACTAATATGGTTGCCTGATTTTTTTTTTTTTTTAATCTCAAAATGTTTGTCTCAAAAGTTTAAGAGGCTTTGTGTGATATCCTTTAAAGATCTAGTATCAAATATGATAGGGTAGAAAAGGCTAAATCATAGTTAATGAGCAAATTAAAGAAAGCTTTTGAACTGTATATCCCTTTCAATGAAAGACCAACAGAGACATTGTGAATTCAAATATTTGCCTTGATGTTTAAGCACATTACATAAAATTTTCTTCTGGATAACAAGTGAGTGCTTATTTCTGCATGATATAAGCAAAATTTTATTTTTTTTCCTATTCACTTGAAATAACTTATGGCTTAAAATGCTCTTAGCGTTTTGTTTCTCAGAATTAAAATCTGGTCACTTGAGCTCTATTTGGTTTTCTGGTTTAAAAAAGGTTTCTCTTAACAGTGTCTTCAGTGACAATGCAAGGTAAGTATTAAAGGAAATCAAAAATTGTGCTTGGGGGCTTTTTGTTATGGGATACTGCTTTTGTTTTTGTTTCTGTTTTTGTTTTTTCTTTTTCCTTAACATTGTCTGCTGCAATTTAAATAAAATTTTAAACATTTTAAGGTATTTAGTAGACAGACCAAACAAAATTACATTTGTTTTTATTTTAAAGTGAATGTTTTTCTCTTCAACCAATCTAAAAACAAAATACCTTATGTAGAAATATTTTCATAATATTTTTACTACAAGCTTTCCCATGTTTTTTATGTCTTAATTTTCCTTGCTACGTTTACTATAGGTTGCACAAGAATTTTACTCTCTTGTAATTGTGCCTCAGACTTTTTGGAAGTCCACCTTCTAAATTGCCCAGATGATGATCTAGATTCTACATGTTACATTGGTTTATTCTTGTGCTCTCTTGTATTTAAAACTTTGGCTGTACTAAGCAAACGCAAGGTTATAAATTTAGCTAATAGGAGTTTACAGACAATTCAGATGATTATGATTTCTTGGTTTAACTGAGCTGTACTAGTTCATTTCATAAGGAAATGATGCTGTAGACAAATGTAAATAAAGTCTGTGAGTCAAGCATCAAAAAAAAAAAAAAAAAAAAAAAAAAGAATGGATAAGGTGTCTAATGGTCACAGGACTATGTGGTAGATGTAATGAACTAAAATTGAGGGCTTGTTAGAAACTGTGAAGCCATTTATTTGTATGTAGAACTTCATTCCTTGATTTGCGAATGTGACTATATTAATAAGGATGTATTTCACAAGCCCTAGACATACACAGTGATTTATCTTCCTTTGGAATTTTCTATTAGAGGTCAGTTAGGAGTTTTTGAATTTTGGTAATGAAGTATATTCATTTTTATACTTCCTACTACCATAAAAGTTAATATTCCAGATGTTACAGTTGACCTCTGAATTTTAGTTCTTCTGATTGCTGATTACAAGTGCTATACATATTTGGTTTTCATTTGGTGTTGAGAGCCACAGCTGAAGGGGCCCCAGCAAACTTCCAGCTGCCAGCAAACTTCCAGCTGCCACCTGATGATTGGCTCACAGCAGCCCCAGCAAACTTGTAGCTGCCAACTGATTGGCTCCTCTGCGGTGATGATCATTGGGCTGTTTCCCCGCCCTTTCAGACCACGGAGCTGCTCATTGGGGGACTTTTTTTGGCTCTGCTCACCAGACCCAGCCAATAGTCCTCAAGAGCAGGAGGAGTAGGGGAGGTTGAGAGGCTTGTGGGAAGCCGGTGGTGGCAGTTGGGCTCTGAGGGTTTTTCCTGAGGAGCTGTGTGGTGTGGTGTGTGTGTTCTAAAAATAAAGTTCATTTCTTATGACAAGTGGCTCCTGAATTGTGCCCAGCCAGACTGCGGCAATTTGGCATTTTAATTAGTATCTCTTTTATTTTCTTTATTAATAAAAGAAGTGTCTAAAAATGCTTCTTTTTTCCCATTGCACTTTGGATATCATTTTAACTGGTTATCATTTTCATTGTATTGCTATACTTGAGGCAATACTCAGGAATAATCACAGAAATGGATTTATCTCCTATTCTGCCAACATTCTGACAAAGGAATTTCTTTAACAGTTAAAATTATCTTCTGTGATGGATACTTTTTTTTTTCTTTTGATACTGGGGATTGAACTCAGGGACACTCGACCACTGAGCCACATCCCCAGCCCTATTTTGTGTCTTACTTAGAGACAGAGTCTCACTGAGTTGCTTAGCACCTCACTTATGCAGAGGCTGGCTTTGAACTTGGGATCCTCCTGCTTCAGCCTCCAGAGACACTGTGATTATAGGTATGTATCTGCAGCCAGCCCTTTGTTAGTTTTAAAGTATTATTTCTTGAAAAATATGGCTGCTTTGGCCCTATTGTATTTACTTATTGGCACTGTCAGTTAACATTTTTTTTACCTCAGTTTAGTCAACCTACCAATTACTGTGGCCTCACATCAACTTTCTATCCCCATTCTACCAACCTGCATCTTCATCAGTGCCGTAGCTCACCACTACCCTCTGTCCTCAGCTGTCATGCCTGCTAGCTGTGCCTCCATGTTCCTCAGCCTCCAACCTCATCATTCCACATTGTTATTCATTCAGCTGACTGATCTGTACCTCCATAACTCACCTCTCACTCTGCTGTGTCCTTAGTCACCACCCAGTGGTTTACTCTCTGCATAACTCCCAAGGCCTCTCATTCCTTAGATTCTTGTATCTAAGATTCTTGAATCTTAGATTCCTTAGATTCTGGGCCCTCTGACCTGTGCCTGTGTACAGCTCGTGATCCTCCTCACTGCCACCTCTCCAAGCACTATGCTCACTCCTGTAAACCACTAGGGGAAGGAGAGGAAGTTGTTACTCTCATTCTCACATGAGTGCACAGTACAGGTTACCAGAGGCTCAATTGTGATCATGCCATCTCTCTGGCCATGAATGGAATGTGTACTTGTATTTTCATGTATTTTAAAATGTTCTCAGTTTTCATTGCTAATGTAATGAATAGCAATAAAATGCACATAAACAAAATTTCTTTGAGATCCTCAATAATTTTAGGAATATATAAAAGGTTCATGAGATCAGAAAGTTTTAGAGTCACTGTTCCATATGTACAAGAAAAAGATTTTTTTAAAAAGATAAATATTTGAGCCAAAGACAGGCAAGTCATTTTTAAAAAATTTCTACAGATACACAGTAAACATAACTAAAAAGTGTAGTTTTCTAATAAAGACGTGAAAATAAAAAGCAAGATACTATTTTGCTTATTTATCAAATTGATAATAAAAGTATAATAAATAGCTGGTTGAAAGGCATTTTAGCAGAATAGATCAGAAGCTTATGCTTCTTTTGACTCTTTTTGGAAATATGTTCTACAGAAATTATTGAATTATTGTGTCTGAAGAGTTAATGTATTTATCATGTTTTGTTTTTTGTATAATATTAAAAATTCAGAAATTTTCTTGTGGTGAGCCGCTTCTGCCGTTTCTGCAGATTATGGTCGCCATTACAAGATGACGCTGGCTCCGCTGTGGTCTGTGACAAACAACTCCTTATCTGGGAGAGTTGGCACATGATTTTTCACCACCCTGTGAGAAAGCTCCACGCGGCAGCTTTGCATTGGGGCTTGGGATGCTTTATTAAGGCTGGGAGGGGCATCCGAGAGAAAGAAGAAGAAATATCAAGGGCCTGAATAAACTGCTGAAAGAAGATTCCTGAGTTGCGTCTTCCTTGCGGGCAAGGGGTCGCGACAAGTGGTGCCGAAACCCGGGAACCAGAACTTTCAACAGTCAGGGGTGGTGCACCGGTTAGTCCCAGGTAAGTGGGATCCGCGACCAAAGCGGGGTTAGTCCCAATAAGTGGGATCCGCGATCAAAGCGGGGTTAGTCCCTAGTAAGTGGGATCCGCGACCAAAGCGGGACAGCTCCTCTGTAATGAAAGAGAGAGCCTTACATTTTATTGCAGCTGCACTGTGTACTTTCGCTCCTACTTTCGCTTTCTTTTTTTTGTGCTTCCTTTGTTGTTGTGTCATGGGTGCCGCATCTTCAAGTCCGCTTCTCCTGGCCCTAGATGGCCTGTTACGTTCCAAGGGACTGGAAGTGAAACATAGTACTTTACAGAGATTTTTACAGAAGATAGATATCGCTGCACCGTGGTTTGCATTTTCGGGCAGCCTTACTGTGCCTAGTTGGGATAAATTAGGCAAAGATCTTGACTTTGCTTCTGAGCAGGGCATATTAGAGGGTGGGGTGATACCCCTTTGGAAAATGGTCCGTGGTTGCCTTACAGATGGTAAATGCCAGGAAGCTGTGAGTGAGGGTCAAGCTATTCTTGAGCAATTGCATGAGGAAAAATCTGAAGGATCATGTAGTGAAGTGGCAGAGAGTATTAAAAGTAACAGTAGTGAGAAGGCAAAAGAGCCTGAAGATAAAAATAGGAGAAGGCTCTACCCAGACTTGACCGAATTAAAAACGCCTGAGAACACAAGCGACTCAGAGAGTTCTGAGGACCTTGATATATTGTTACAACAACTACATAAGATAAAAATGAAAAAGAAGAAAAAGGAGACACAGGGCACGCAGGCCTACTGTAAGAAGGGGAAGGGAGTTAACATTGGTCAACAAAACTCTGAGGAGGAGGAGGTAGAATATCTAGAAGAAGATATGGTGCCGATTGCCCCACCTCCGTATGTGGGGGGGAGCCAAGGTTCCGGGAGATCTTTTCATGCACAAGTTTGGAGGACAGTTAATACAGATATGGGACTTGCATACCCTGTATTTCAGGACAATAACAGGGGAAGATATCATGAGCCTTTAGACTTTAAGATAATTAAAACCTTGGCAGAATCTGTCCGCACTTATGGCATAGATGCCGCTTTCACTCTCACTCAGGTGGAGGGACTTACTAGATTTTGCATGACTCCCTCAGATTGGGCTAGTCTAGTCCGCGCTTGTGTTTCCCCAGGGAAATATTAGGAGTCCAAAGTTGGCTGTTTAATGTTTCTGGCAGTACCCAAGACTCGGAGCGAGGTAGGAGGCTTAAAATTTCTGCAAATAATTCACAATTATCTAATGCTACATTACCCTCCGCAGCAGTCCGTCTCCAATCTCCGTTCCTGTTTCTTTTGGCTAATGTTACATTACAGGGGATGCTTAATTGTTCTAATATTACCTGTTATTTGTCTGAGTGTTGGAATGGCTCCTGGACTATGGCAATGGTTATGAAATTTCCAACCTTTGTCCCGATCCCGGTTACTGCAGATCCAGAGTCTTTTCCTATTGTTGAACTGATTAGAGCCCGTAGAGATTTTGGAATTACGGCAGCTATAGGGACAGCTGTGGCGGTGTCTGCTGCTGCAGCAGTTACAGCTGGAGTAGCCATGGCCAGCCAGGTACAAACTGCTGCCACTATTAATCAGGTTATTCAACAAACATCCACCATACTTGAATCTCAAAGTAGAATTAATCAACACATTTTATCTGGGATTCTGGCTGCTAATCAAAGGATAGATCTGCTTCAAGCTCAAGTTGAGGAATTGTCTGACCTAGTACATTTGGGTTGTGTTGATCAACGTGCACATTTATGTATAACCTCTGTCAGATTTTATGATTCCAGAAATGCCTCCCACATCATCGGGGAGTATCCATCCGGAACCTGGTCCATGGAAGCAGAAAACATGATCCAGTCTCAACTAACCCAGATAGCTGTCTTGAACAGTACCCGTGTCGATCCCGTGACTTTGGGTCAATTCACCGATTGGATATCTTCTGCTTTTTCCTTCTTCAAAGAGTGGGTGGGAGTAGGCATTTTTGGTGCAATGTGTTGCTTCAGTGTTGTGCTTTGTTTGTGGCTTCTCTGTCGCCTTAAAACTCGCCATGCACAAGAAAAGGCTATGATCATACAAGCTCTTGCAGCTTTAGAAAATGGCAACTCGCCTCAAGTCTGGCTTGCGCATCTTAAGCAGTAAACCTTTGTCATGGTCGTTACACCCCAAGTTATTATAACATTGCACTGGGATCGACATGACTTTCCTTGTTATTCTCTTAGTGTTGGAAAGCCCTTGCACTCTGCCGGTCTTACTGC